TGGTAGTGCAACTACGAGAGAGAGAGAGAGAGAGAGGTGACCCGTGGATGCTAAGATGGATGAAGGAGAGGAGGTGGGAAAAGACTCCATGGTCAAAGAAGACCTGTTTCTGTGAAGAGAGTTCCAAGTTTGAGTAATGATTCGAGGACTCCAACTGCGAAAACCCCAAAGAGATACCCTAAACAGGACAAGTTGCGAGAGTAATCAATGGTTGGGATCATGTGGGTTCATTTGATGGCGTAAGAAGCGTATATCGTTTAGGAAGTTTCCTTGGAGGAGTCCAAGTCAATCTGCAAGATTTATTTAAGAGCAAAAGTACCGAGGCAGGAAGGCATGAACTACTACTACTATTTAATTTAATTGATTTGGGGGATTTTGCGGCCAACCACCGGAAGCTGCCACGTAAATGCAAGAAGATTCAACACGATAGATGAAAGGGTAAAGCACGCAAGAAAGGAAGGAAAGAAGAAAGGTTTCAACTCCCACTTTGGTTTGAATTCTAGATTTTAGACCTTTCGAGTCCAAACATTTTTGTGTTGAATTAGAGATATATCCTTCCGAAATTTACAATTCCATCGGTTCCCTTTTTTATCTTTAAGATTCAGTGGGCAGGCCACATCAGGAGGGAGCAGTGGTAAATGCTTAGAATCTTGTGGTTTGTCTGCATTTAAGAGAGAACACATGCCTTGATTTCTTGTGCATGAAGCTCGAGGAATCAAATCCAGTGTTACTGTTTTCCTGATCTCCTTCTTTGTCATGTGGGCATCAGAAGCATCAGCCTATTGGAGAACATTTTGGACATGTGAGGTGCAAGAAATTGTTTATTCCACTAAAAAAGGATAAAGAAAGAAGAGGACATGTGTGAACATGTCATCTTATATTTTTAATCTTGCATTTTTCTTGACTTTTAAGGAAATCCACATATTATACATATAAAGAATGAAATAGAAAGATTCCAAGTACATACCAAGAGACATAAATGTTTCACAAGAGGGCCTTACGATAGAAAAGATTAGATGATGATACGACACACCCCAAAAGAATAAAAAAATCCATCGAGACTTGCAACAAAAGTGGGAGAAATTAATTATTTTCACCTAAAATTTTTAGAGACAAAAAGGCTTACAGGAAATTCACATTACACACAGATTAGAGTGCAAAGTCAAATACATGAATCGTACCTAAAATTTCTTTGTTTTCTTCCCTCTTTTCTGACATCCCAAAAAGCATCATGTTCTCCTACACTGATCATTAAATCAACCACAGCCGTTTAATAAACCGTATATTTCACAACAATGATCCTACACTGATCCTCTGGCTTTTGACATGCAAATCATTTTTTTTCCAAAATAAGATGGTTAGTCTAACCTAAGTCTATCAGCACTAACATGAGTAGGAAGTCAGGTTTCATCCATATGTCATAATGACATTTAGGATACTGCGCCCAGCTGAATTCATAATCATAACCACTTGAAGAAACTTAGCCCACTCCCATTCTCCAAGACAGTTTCTTCGGATGAACCCGATGAGCTCTCCATGGTCTCCCCGGAGCTGCTGCCTTGATCAAGCCGCATGCGGTGAGCATTCTCAGCAATCCATTTGGCAACGTCGGGGGTCGACGCCCATTCTGTTAGGGCTGTGTTGGTCGACTCACGTGTGAAGTTATCCCAGTCTTTCTTGGAGAACTTTCTTACTGGCAGATTATGATAGGTTGAGTAGTAGTCCTTGTTCTGCTGTCTCCCTTGCCTGGAGGATGAGTAGCTCTTTCCTGCTGTAACAAATATGAAAACAATCCAACTTCAGAACTCATGGACCCTGGATTATTACATGCAAATAAAAGAGGGCTTCCAAGTGCCATCAATTTTGCGATAGTCAAAACATGCTAGTATCAACTAAATGCAGACATGCTCGGGCAAGATGCTTTGATATGTGTAGTGAACAAGCATCTTGAAGTCTCAACTCTGTAAACAAAGAAGGTGCAGTGATCCAACCGCAAAATGAAAGTCCTTCCAACCATGTATTACTGCATTGAGAAAGATGTTCTTGCAGACGTGCAGAACATGTATGAATAAGAACACCCCAGCAATGCTTATATCTAATTGTACCTTGATACGGTGACAGAGACATAGAAAATGGGCTTGAGCTTCCCCAAAATGCCCTTCCGGGCTCTTTCTTAGATATAGGACTCAAGAATTCAGCCTGCCTATTATAAGGTGACTGCCTAGCCTTTTGCTGCCATAGACTATGATTCTTCACCGGTGCTTGCCGCCTGAAGGAAAACCATGTTTTTCAGTGTGTTGAACACAGCATAATCTTGACAAAACTATTTGTAATTGTACTTACCACTTCTTCGAATTAATAAGAGAACTGAAGTTCCAACAAACAGCCAACGCAGCCAATGCCAAAGGGACATCAAGAGTGCTCTAGAAAGAAAAGTAACAAAGGTAAATGTTTAGCAGACAATTAGATAAAGGAAATAGCTAGTAAGAGAATGGTGATGATGAAAACATGCATTGCTGATGGGATGTTTGATCATGGTAGGATTATTTTACAACAATTCCTCCATCTTTTTCCTATTATATGAACTGCATGTTTTCCTATTCAATAGTTTAAGGCAAGCCTCTCACGTCAGAAAAACATTAGCAATGATAGAAATGAGAGAGAACACAAGTAAAGCTTGATACACTTAAAAGATGAACCTTCACATGAATTATTGGTCAATAAGTCCGCACTCAACATTCAATATTGTTCCAACAACATACAAGGTCAGCACTTTCAAGATAGGGATAGTTCCGCACTCAAAACTTCTTCAGAATGCTTAGGTTTTAGTTTACCAGTAATACTGACAAAAAGAATTCATGTCTTCATAGTTCTAGATTACAGGACAAGTAGTTGATGATGAACATTTCACAAATTCAAGGGTAAAAAAAACAAAAAGGAATCAGATGATCAAAGAGTAGGAAAGCTTACTGAATGAACACCAATCAAGCAACTCATCATATAATCAAGCAGCCAAGCATGTTCTTGAGCACTTAGCAAAATAGAAAAGAGAGATCAGAGCTTTGAACTCTCAAAAGGAGATCAATTTCATGCCCCACAACAATAGGCCAAGAAAAAAGATTCTGGAGGCTGCATATATAAAATCCTCCAATTGAATAAGACCATGCCACGTTGCATGCCAAAAATGTGCTAGCCTCTTTTTGGCATGCCACTTGCCACATGGTTGTATCATGTCTCTCCTTGCTAGTCCAACAAGACTCACTTGACACCATCCTCAAATAAGAATACCTAGTATATCATAATTATAGTGGTTGCTAATATACTGAATCCACCGTGGCAATTGGGTTGTGGGGCATCAAATCTTACATTAGATTGTGATGACATGTTCACCCTTGATACTACCAAATGGTAAAGTCTATTTTCGAACAAATTTGTTGTTACAAAAAAATGCACATTTTTAATGAACAATCTGAAGCAACTAACACATAAAGATACTGCAAAAGTTAGCTTACTACATAAATGAACCATTTCAAGAAATAACATAGAGCTTAAGGCATGATGCATGAATTGATCATGAAGAACATACCTGGAGGATAAATACAACCCCAGTAAAACGCATTGCCCACTTCACAAACTGTGCTATGCCAGCATCTACAGTTCCATCTTCAGAAAGGACAAATTTTCGCACTATCCAGTAACCCAAAGCTGCTCCTGACAAGATTACTCCCACTACTATAAAAACTGAAACCTGTAATTGAGAGAAATTAGCAAATAAAACTTCAAGGCCAAAAACATTGTAAGAGGTGTTAGCAAATAAAAGTTCAAGGCCAAAGACATTCTAAGAGGTGTTAAAACTAATAACATTCATGATAATGTAAGCAGATATCAAACAACTTCTACTACCATAAAGGCTGGCGTCAACTAAAAATTTGCTGTTAAAATAATCAAGCACATGTGAGCTTCGATCAGAAATCAACTATGTCGCTCGGACTTGCATATGAAATGTTGGATGTGATACAGACCCCAAAGGTTGACATGGCTTAACCTCTAATTTAATATATTTAGATACAATTTAAAGGAAATCAAGTCTAAAATACAGTACAGGGATAAACAAAATGTTTGGAGATAAACATTTATATATTAATATGATCTAAGATGCATTTATCATAATTTGAAACATGTTAAATTTTTATAATACTATTGAAAATATTATTTTTTCCCTTCATCTTCTCTTCTGTTTTCTCTTTTCCTTTCCAGTCCCTTCTCCTCAAGTCTTCTCCATTCCTCTTTCTCTCTTCTTCTCTTCTCTCATCTCATCCTCTTTGACTCTTCCATTGCTATTGTAAAGGTTGTTGTGATCACTTCTACTGAAAATGTTGGTGTAATCACTTCCATTGCTAAGATCACTGAGATGTTGGTATGATCACTTCTACTGAAAATTGCTATTGTAAAGGTTCAGCATGGATTCCGAGTACAAAAGCAAATAAATGAATTATGGTCAATATTTTATTATGTTCAAAATATAAATAATTGATACAAACATATAATTGTCTCATCTATAGTAAAAAGATCATTATTAACAAAACACATGAGTTCCCGAAAATGTCCACCAAATATACCTAAGTATCCTAAAATACCTGATATCATATATATATATATATATATATATATATATATATATATATATCAAGATGTATCCTGCAAGTGCCCTAACTGAGACATACATGATATTAATAAGAAAAGCAATTTGAAATATCTGTGTTACAATCTTTCATACACTAGTACACAAGCAGCACTAAAATGAAAAATGAATCAACAAAGGGCAAGACAGTCATACAGAATATTCCCCAAAGCATAGTAGTAAAACTCCATATTAACAGTATCATGAAAATAAATGCTTACAGGATTATGCAACTCTTCACTCAAGCCAAAAGTAACAAGAACAGAATTGACAAATGTGGAGAAGTAGTGTGCAATAAATGAACCAACACCCACCTGCAAGAAACACAAAAGTAAGCAGGGCTTTATCCAGAGGAAAATATTTTGGAATAAATAAAGTTTGCCGTAGTAAAAATCTAAAGCATGTAAAAGCAAAATTGGGCAATAGCATGGAAGGAAACCCTTACAATAGATCCACAGATTGTGAAGTATAGGATGCTTTTCCTGCCTGTGGGTAGTAACTTCATCCCCTATATCATGCATGCAAAAAATGGGTCAACATATTTTAAACAACAGAGAGCAAAATGTAAAATTGTCACTCTATTAATCAGTATCATAAGTAAAATATAATGTAAGACAAGAAATTAGTGAGAACCACCACCTTCAGGATGACCTAAGATATATAAATTACCTTTGCAAGCAAATAAGAACTTACAAATTCTACAAATAAAAACAACACAACCCTGCTTACTCACATAAAATATCCAATAAGGATCATGGTGAGTATGTATTGTTTTTAACACAAGACTCTTGAAGAAGAAAACAGGTAGCAAAGGTGAAAAACAGACAAGCATTGTTTCCTGAAACAGCTATAGTCCAACCAATCCAAGAATAAACCAGGATCATACCACTAAAACTTTTACAACTAGCTTATTATATTAAGATACCAGTAATAGTATAGGTTATAACCAAAAGACACATCATATGTGTAATTGAATGATTCTAAAATGATATTTATAGGATCAGGAACATGAAAAGTCAGTAAATACAGCATCTTTCCTGTCAAAAGCTTTACAACAAACATCTCTTATACAAACATCAAATTATGCAGAATTAACCACTTGCAACAATAAACTCAGTTCCAATTTCCATTTTAAACATCCCTTGGATATTTCACCAAGATTACCAAAATCCATTTTCAAACCTATCCCTCAATTTTCTCCATCTTTGTGGCCATAAGTTCACATTTTCTAAGATACAATGGATCCATTGATATCTCCAATCTAGCTAAAGATTACTATCTATCAGTTTACTGCATTTGTTCTTAACTGAAACCAAGTCCAAACTTACCCATACATGCAGCAAAAAAGCATATGAAACTTATGATTAATTCTTTATAATGATCTGCCAACAAGATTCCATAGCGCAACTTAACATGTAAAAATCTATTCTATTAGTTTCACAATTTAGATTCATGGCCTACAAATCTAGAGATGTCCAATTTCCAAGTTGGAGGAATCACATTCAAATATTAACAGCAAAGTACCTGAAACAGAATGATCAAAACAACAAGAAGAACTCCTAAAGCCATTGAACTGCTGTAATAGAAAGGCACCCAATTGCTGACAGTAGGTGCCATGAGCAGCAAGAGAAATCCAAAACCAAGGCAAACCAGGCGCCACTGTTGAAGCTCTGCAAGTGCCAAAAAAAAGGGTGGGCTCTGAAGCTTATGTTATTTGATGAAAAAACAAAAACAAGTTCAAATGTATTATATGCATTTCATCACAGAAAGTGACAATACAACTAGGAAAAGAATGATTTACCTTCCTCGAGAGAAACTGCGAAGGAAGTAGATATTTTATCAATAGTTTTAACATCAATATATCTGTCATCATAGGGTGATATCACTGAACTCCATTGGTTGTCTCGAAGAGATTCCCACTTCTCCTCCTCACATTGACATAAACTAGTAGAAGCATTCCTGCAATGAGTTCCAAAACATGAAAACAATATTTTTCTAACAAATTGTTTTAACTCTGGATTTCATCCGAGATGGAAATGTCAGATGCTAACCAATGGAAGCAAACTCGTATCTTTCCTCCAAGTCTTTCAGGAATGGATTCTGAAACCTTCAAAGCAACACGTACAGAACTGGCATATGACTTGAGGTTCAACCTTGACATGCCAGTCACACGAACCCGCTGACATGAATGTCCAGCGTATGGCAATGAACTGAATTCTAAAACTGGATTTTCCAAATTAATGTCTGCATCAAATAGGACATTTGTATGTAAATAATGACTCCAACCAAAATGCTGCTAAAATAACAAACAGGATAGTTCAAGGAAACATAAGTAGCATAATGAAATTGTAATTGCCATCACAAGACAACCTTCCGTTAGGTTCTTGTAAATACCCCAGAAGAATGTTTATCTTTCTATCAGTAGTTCGAAGAAAAAGAAGAACATGCACATTTATGAAAGAACAGAAAGCCAAGTGAACGAAACACTAGAGCGATCCGGTTGAATGCTTACCGATGGCAACGACATTGAATGACACGTTACCAAACTTCCAACAAAGAGCACTTCTTTGATGAGAATCCGCAAGCAGAATTCAAAAAATGGGAGAGACCATTTTGGATTTCGGGTGTTTGATATAGTGCTCAAACAAATGCAAATATCAGCGGAAACAGAAAACCCTAGAATGGATAAAACCACTCGAAAGATACGCCTAACAAGGAGGACACCATTCGAATCGTCCATCCGCGAGGTTTCTAAGGCAGGCGAACAACTTTTATCGCTTACTGAAGGGGATGGAGGCGTACGTACCTTGGAGAGGCGCTTCATCGCTCGAAGCGAGGACCAGCAGAGAGTCGTGAGAGAGAAGGGAGAGAAGGAGGTGGAGGACAAAAAAAGGGGAAGGAGAGGTGGTGGAACCCTTCATCGCCCTCTTCTCCGAGTTCGTCTCCTCTCTTCCTAGACAGACGAGAGACGAAAGCGTGGAGGTGACCGCCCCCTATAGGCATTCGCGACGGTCGATTTGCTTACTCGTGACGCACCGACTCGTGAGCTTGACTCGGACCGGGTTTGAGTTTGCGAGCGACTCAAATCCAACTCAGGTCAGGATCGGATGATTTTCCCAATGGTGTATGCACAAAACATACATTTATTGAGCGTACGGTCGCATAAATCAGTGTAATATTAGGGCCAATACTTCTATCTTTATTCACAGCCGGTAACATTTTAAGATCCATGAGGAGAACCCGCGGGGGAGCGGACCTTCGGCAATGGGCGGAGCTCGTCCTACCGTGGCTTCCGCCGCCGGACCTAGCGGCCGCCGCCTCCACCTGTAAGGCCCTCAGCCGCGTAGGTAAATCCGTCTCCTCCCGACGCGCGTCCGATGCCACCCGCGGCCTAGAGCGCCACTCCATCCCTTTCCTCGACCCCACGGGCGATGGTCAACCCTACTCGTATTTCCTTTACACCCGATTCCCCGTCCTCGCCTTGTCCTCACCGGCTCCCTCCGCCCAGCCGTGGGGCGGAGACCCCGATAAAAATCGAATCTTGGATGCTTCTTCTCTGGCGGTCTTCGAGTCCCCGATCACGGGAAGCGGCGCCGGTTGCGGCTGCAACGTGTGCGCTCCTCTGGCAGTCGGGGATTACGGTCGCTGCCCGTGTTCGAGCCCCAAGATGGGATCTTTCTCAAGTTCCAATGCCGGAAACGGAACAGATCTGATGACAGAGTGCGGGACAAACTGTTCTTGTGGAGTTGAGTGCGTGAATCGATTGACTCAGAGAGGGGTTTCGGTTAAATTGAGGATCATTAAAGATAGGAATAAGGGATGGGGATTGCACGCTGCTCAGTTCATCCATAGAGGGCAATTTGTTTGTGAATATGCCGGTATGGGCTTCTTATCCTATTTTCGCTGCTTCTCTGTCATTGGACAATGATTTTGCTCTGTGTAGGTGAGTTCTTGACGACAGAAGAAGCAAGGAGGAGGCAGCGAACTTACGATGAGCTTGCATGTGGTGGTAGGCTTCATCCTGCCCTTCTGGTTGTAAGAGAGCATCTTCCATCAGGCAAAGCATGCTTGAGAGTCAACATCGATGCTACTAAGGTGGGAAACATAGCTCGATTCGTCAATCACTCGTGCGATGGTGGCAATCTCTCGACAGTCCTGGTCAGGAACTCTGGGTCATTGCTTCCGCGACTCTGTTTCTTTGCTGCCAAGGATGTGGTTGATGGTGAAGAACTCACCTTCAGCTACGGAGTTGCTGATCTTACAAAGCAGGGTCTACCTTGCTTCTGTGGAAGCTCCTGCTGTGTCGGCAGGCTGCCGTCAGAAGAAACATGAACTCCGGTGGATGATTACGTTTCTCATGGTTCTGCTGACTGTTGACTGTAGCCAAATTTAGATTTGGTTCACAATCTCTTTCCTCATTGTTTGGGTTGATTCCATGAACCGAGATTATTTTTTTATGATGACGATGAACACATGTTTGTCACAAATTCCATATGGAGTGAATCTCATCAAAACCAAGAAAAAAATTGTTCACGACACTGAGTTAATGAGAATCGACAAGTGACAGACCAGAAAGAGGAATAAAATTGACGCAATCACCTAAAAAATAGTTCTGCCTTTACACACCCTGACATCAAACTCACACCAGGAAAAACCTATGGAGGATGGCAACTAAATCCTGGTCGGAACTTTGGTCAACCATCAATGACAGGTGGGCCCAGGTATTTTACGCCATCCATCTCTAAATCCTTGGAAATGTCAATCTCTTCCAGCCATCCCAGATCATGTTTCTCCTCTCCACTTTGGTCAGTGGCATCATCTGCACAAGGTCCATAAGATTTTATAAACGAACAGAAATCATCTGTCTTGTTCAATCAGCACCAAACAAACAGATTAATCAGTGACATTATGCATGGCAGTAGTAGCCTGGCAAAATAGTTGGGTGAAGTCCAAAATAATACATTAGCATTAAAGACAGGAATCATAGTCAGTATTATGACACTGGTGAAGTCAAAGAACCACATGGTTTTCAAACAGTAGGAGAAACAAATTCTAAAGGAAAAGATGTTTGCAATGTTTGCAAACATTGATACTGTTTGCAAAACATGGATACTGTTATTTATTACAAGTCCATTGTAGTGTCAACTAAGATGCATATATTGGGCAGTAGGAATCAGAATCCACAGGCAAAGAACAAAGTCGAGCGACATGCATCTATTCGTAGGAGCTGATCATTGCTTACCTAAATATTTCGTGTAGGGATGATCGCGATAATACGTTATGTCGCGATTGTCTTCCTTTGAGTAAGGGGGTCCAAGAACATCGAGCACAGCACAGGGTGTGATGGCTGTGAAGGTATGGATGTTTCCCCCAGTTGTTGGATAAAGAATGGAGGTGTTGCAAGGTGCAGTGAAATCGGAATCGACCACCAGCTTTGCCGGCCTCACTGCAAATTATACCACACATTGCCATGGATTGAGAATTTGGTAAGATGGAATCAGAGAGAGCGAATGGGAGCTCACTTTTAGCTGAGGATGCGGAGATACTTGATTTATCGGGATCGATCCAATCGTATGATTTTATATGCATCGATCCCAATAGTAGCTTGCTGAAAACAGTCATCTCAGGGTGATTATGAAGAGGAATAACTGCTGTTGGGGGCAAGAAGAATATACACATCTGCAAGGAAACATGAATGAATGTATCAAAAAACAAGAACATTCTTCCCCGCATGCTAAAGGCACCTTCATCAAAGAAAGGGAACTTCCCGATAAATTCTTAATGCTTGTTTAGGAATCTATATGTCATCATATCCAACAAATGCATCTTGCTAAGAGTGCAATTTCTCATGGTATGCAAAGCATGGTGCCATCAAGGGGGCAAGTCTTACCGAAAAGTTGTCGCATTTATGTATGGTGGCATATGTGATCCTTGGAGTTCCACTGGAAGAACTTTTGGACTTAAAGAAGAGTATGTCCGTGCTTAGCCCAACATCTTCTGGTCTCATTTTATCTGGAGATGGATAGAATCTCACATGGTTAGAACTTCCAGTAAGCACGGCCTTCAAACTTTAGCAAGAGCATGTGTTCAATGTTGATAATGAATACAAACTAGAAGATTACTGGGAAATTTTGTGTGCATAGAAGTATGAAATGGGTATAAATCGAGTTCTATCCGAAGCATGAAGCCAATAAAAAAACCTAGTTAAGTAAAATATTATTTATGGATTGGAGTTCGTGCCTTCAAACACAGAGCATGGGTAGATGCATCAAATCTTACTTCAAGTTGGTATCAGCGCAATCAAAGAACGAATCTACAAGTATTAAAGACCAAGAAAGATACAACAATGGTTGGGATTCGCGCAAAGCAACGCTAGCAGGAGGTTCGGAGACGATACCTAAGAGGAGCTTCAGCATCTCGACGTCGGCGGGCTCCGGCACGGTCCCGGGGCCCTTGAATACCGACTTGCAGGCCACGAACAGCCGCTGGATGGCGGTGGAGGCCGCGTGCACCCTCCGCCGTGTCCTCCGGCTGCAACCCTGCTTCCTCACCAGCCTCTCGCCGTTCCGCTTCGCCCCCACTCGCTTCCCCTCCTCCCCATTGCTCGCCTCCACCTTCATCCCGTCTCGCCTGCAAGACGTAATGTTTCGCCGTTGGCGATTGTCGAGACGTCTCAAGGTCCGGGCTTTACACGCACCGGAGATCTAATATCGGCGGAGAAGTGGGAAAAGACCAGACATGGAGCGGATAAGCTCGAACTCAGGATCGGGATCCACGAAGAACAGTGGAAAAAATGGAACTTGCGCAAGGGAGGATTGGACAGGTGGGGGTATATAAAGGAGGGGCGGGGGGGAACAAAACCATGGGCCATCGCATGGCTTTGGCTTACGAAATCTCCATGGTTTCATGAAGCGAAGACCACGAAACTGCTCGAGTTCTTGGCCCCTTTCGGCTCCCTCCCCGCCTCCACCAGCCTATTAGCCATCCCGAAACAGCTCTCCCCGACCGTACACAGATTGCTGAGCACCCCACCTCGTCCTTTTTTAGTGTCTCAGTGTCATCGGTGAATTGACCCAAATGCTCTCATCGATGCAGGACGCCGTGTCTCATTGTCTCGGTGAAAGGACCGAAATGCCCTCATCGAGGTTGCAACGTCGCCGGACCAGTTTGGTAACTTCGCAAGAGTCACTGCTGTCAAAAAGATGCCATGTCCACCATGCAAAAAATGTTTTTTGCGTGTGATTTTGACACGCGTCATCCTCTGGGTGTACAAAAATTGACGTAGATGAGACTATGTTTGCTACGTCTTTCTGTCTTATACGGAGTCTGGTGGGAGCGCCCTTTCATATCCTGACCCACCACGGCCGACGCCATCGTATGCCACATGTACGCTCGTGAGCATCACGTGCTGGATCGCGCTGGGCAAAGGGATCCGCTGAAAGGCGACAGACGCGGAGGTTTAAAGACGAGTGACGTGTTTCGTGGGTGAGGGAGAGCCCGGGCGACTCTAGTGGCGGCACCGCACGTGAGTGGCCCATCCCATCGAAATTACCTGAATGAAATAAATTGGAAGTCATAAAAATATAAGTTATCGCGTTCCCGTAGTTTGCAATAATATGTGTTGCATACTGCTGCTTCATAAATATATGTGAGCACGTATAATTTTGGATGCACAAGCGTATATGGCCATTAAAACGTTGCAAATGTTATGATATGATAGGAATCCCGATGCCGGTTCAAAAGCAAACCAGCATCCCACTCGGTTCGATTGGTAAGTCGGTCCGACCATACGGTCTCCCGACATAATAATTCCGCATTAACCAATCGCTTCGGTGGTGGATCGATTTAGTCCATTGCCATTCCTGCCCGACGCACAATAACTTGTCAGGGATGCGGTCCATTCCTGCATTTATAGTCATCGTCTACTGCTGCTTTCTGTTGGTTCCATTGACACATGGAATGTTTCGGCAGGCTTGGGTATTTGGTACATTGCAGCACAGATCCTGTCGCTGGACCATCTTTTCGCATGTGTGATACACGAGGTGAGAGCATCATTCAGAGTTCGGGCATAGTGTGGGACAAATGTGTTGCAGCGAGAATGTCTCTCTTCCGATCAGCTATTAGCGTGATGTTGTTTTGAGGAAGCAATTGCATGGCTGTGGCCAAGGCTGGGTGGGACAACTCACGAAAAGTGCAGTCCACGTCATTAAAATAATATTTTAATTGTCAATATCACATATATATATAATCACTTATTATTAAGATTGTTATAATGGTTACGGTATTATCATCGATAAGACATTATTTATTAATTTGATGATAGTATATTAAATTAATTTATTAAAGATCTCATCTTATATATTTTACATCTTAAATATTATTTTAGTGATAATGTACCATATATTTTTACTAAAAACTATGGTTCAAAATCTTACCTGATATATTTTACATCTTGAATATTAATCTAACAATGATGTTTTTTTAATATATTTTTTTAAAAATATTAACTATCTTAATTAGTAAAGATTAGGATAGTTTATTGTATGTTTTTAATCCGAAACTTACATTCTTATCTTTTAAGAAAAATATATATCGTATATACTTTGTTGCTTTATGCACATCCACTGATGTTTGTGTCAAACAAAAAATAATAATTCTATCGCTACCACTGGCCATTCTATATAACATAATTAACATTAGAATTATAATTGTTGGATGAAATAAAAGTAAGCATAGTTTATGTTATTTTGCCATAATCTTACAATAACACAGTGATCATAAATTCAAATTTTCTTTTTGGTTTTAGATTAGGTGGCTTCTCATTGTCGTTTAGAATTGTTGGATGAAGTAAAAGTTGGCATAGTTTATGTTATTTTGCCATATCATTACAATAGCACAGTGATCATAAATTCAAATTTTCTTCTTGATTTTGGATTAGGTGGCTTCTCATTGACGTTCAATGGCTAACATAACCTTATTAAAATGGTTATTATGTTTTTTTCTCAAAATTTATTATAATCATAAAAAAAAGTTATTGGACATGTATGAGCATTCTAAATATTTTATTTTGGTTATTTCCAAAAAACTTTATGTAGCAATTGGTAATTTTACAAAATGATGATCTTTTAAAAATACCTATATTTTGCGTATTTTCTAATTGGTACCCTTTTTTATTTTTTTCAAACAATGCTTCTAACTTAAAAATATCTTAAGTACCCCTTAAAAAAAAATTGTCAAATTTTTATCCATTTTTATCAATTTTAAATTACTATAATATTATTCAATAGTGTTTATAATGCTTTATTGATGTACTGAAAATACTATAAATGTTATTAACTATAAACGATAACATATCATATTTTTTTCTTTGATTATCATTACTTGTATATTATATTTTTAGGCTTGTAATTAGTTTGATTAAAATTAAAAGTCTATTTAGATCATTTATAATGTTTTCGAGTAGGCTTTATAGTGTTTTTATTATGATAGTCAAAATATTGTAATAAATTAATTTTTAATTTTTATTTAGGTAATATTATTCTTTTAAGTCATTATTAATATATATTTGAATGATATATAAAATGATTTCTAGTATATTTTGATTCTATCTAATTTATTTAAAATATTTTTAAGTAAATCTTATAATATTTTTATTGTGATAACTAAAATGCTATAATAGGCGAGCATATTTGAAAAATAATTTATATAGTTTTTAAATTAGAAGCATACAAGTCTCCCGACTTGTGATACCAACTACGACAAGATTCATTTCTCTTTCTTACGGAACGATGCTCTCACGATGTAAGGTCAGTCGTTCGATCCCCTCTATACTAATCCTCGACTTCATTGTTCCCGATATGGGTTTTTGCTCAACAATGTTACGTCGATCGAATGTCCTCTAGATTTTCGCTCGTCGATTGATTATCCAACAAATCTGCTCCCCGGTTAAGCACTCTAGTAATCATCGACTATGTCGTCATTCTTGGTTCTTTGCATAAGAAGGTTAGGTAAATTTTAAGTGATTTTTCATATCTTTACCAACTATGTCTTAGTAGTGGTTCTCCCCATTTTTGTTTGTGTTGGGGATGGAGGAGCAAAGAAACGATAAAAACAGAATACTACGATATAATTAAAAAGAATACTTTCGATAAAAAAAAATTGATATAGTATTTAAACAACAAGATTGACATAGAACACTTACAAGATATTCTCAAGTGTATACTCCTTATCTTGCTTCATAAACTATGGTCCTATTTATAGGACCTAGAGGCAACTATCTTACTCCATTATGTCACTTATGATTGAGTTACGTATAGGAACTACCCTATAACTTCTAAATTATGGGTTACTTTTTAAAATATGTCGATAACTACCTAAAAAATGGTAACTACCTAGATAACTACTATGAATCAATTCTCAATACTCCCCCATGATTCATAGTTACATATACCGATTTGTAATATGAAATAAACATGCTTTTGAACTAGAAGCGACTTGGTGAGGATATATGTAACTTGTTCCTCTGTTACATAATATTTTATTACTATGGCTCTATTTGTCATAAGATCTCAGATAAAATGATAACGTATCTCTATATGCTTCATTTTTCCATTAAATGTTGGATTCTTCATCATTGTAATTGTGGTTTTGTTGTCACAAAATATTTTCGTTGCTTCTTTTCGTTTTGATAAAGATCTTCAAGAAGTCTTCTAAGCCATATTGCTTGACAAGCTACTGATGTTACGACTACATATTTTGCTTCCGATGTCGATAATAGTTGTTGCTTGCTTTTTTGAACTCCAAGATATAGCTCCTGATCCGAGATTAAAAATATTATCTAAAATACTCTTTCTATCATCTAAAGCTCCTGCTTAATCACTATCAGTGAAACCAAATAATTATTTGAGATATCATTAACTTATAAATAAGTCATAAACAACTTACTATTTTCTTCATTTTTCTCCACATAGTTTGTTTGTTTTTCTCTTTTCTAGCAATATGCCTTCATGTGATTAAACTTTTTACAATAATAACATTGAATTCCACTCTTGTAGTTTTTTTTATTATAATTTGATTGCTTTTGTTCATCATGCCCATTAAAGTGTCCTCTTCCTCTTTCATTTCCTCTACCACGAAATCCTCCAATGCCATGTTCTTTTCTTGTTGATTTTTTATCTTCTTTTGAAGTAGAAGACTTCCCCTTAACCTGAAATATTTTTTCTTTACTTTTTTCAAGTGACATATTTAACCTTACTTCATGTGCTTGCAAGGAACTCATTAGTCAATCAAATAAAAATGTAGATAAATCTTGACAACAACATGATCAAATTTCAGAGTTAAACTTCTCAAAAATTTTATAATAATTATATGATCAAGAAGATGTTTACCATACTATTTCATTTGACTAACAATTTCAGTCACTCAAGAAAGAAAACCTTGCACCGATTCATTATTTTTCATGAATAAAATTTTAAACTCATGATGAAGGATTTGAAATTTTACCGTAATCACCCTTGATGAGCCTTGAAATTCATTTTGAAAAATCAACCAAGTTTGCTTTGAGGTCGTCGCTGCTGCAATTCTAGAGAAGATTGTCTCATGTACAACTTGTTGAATGAAGAACAATGCCTTTGAGTCATTCTTTCTATTCTTCCTTTAGTCTGATTTCGTCATATGAATCTATATATTCATTTTCTATTAAGTCCTAAATATCTTGAGACTTGAATAGAGTCTTCATCTTGATATTCCAAAATTTATAGCATTTGCCTGAGAAAATAGGAATAAGGGGTTGAGACATGGAATTGCCATTGAAAATTATAATGCTTAGTTCAAATTAAAACCTGGCTCGAATACCATAAATGTTGAAGATAAAGGAGCAAGGAAATGATAAAAACGGAATACATGCAATTAAAAAAGAATCATTTCAATCAAGAAAACCGATGTAGTATTTAAACAAGAGGATTGACATAAAACACTTACAAAATATTCCTAATTGTATATTCTTTATCTTGCTTCATACATTATGATCCTATTTATAGGACCTAGAGGTAACTATCTCATTCTATCATGTCACCACGATTGAGTTAGGTGTAGGAACTATCCTATATAACTTCTAGATTATTGGTCACTTCTTAAAACATGTCTATAACTATCTAGATAATTATTATGAATAAATTCTCAATGGTTTGTTCTTGTTCCCAATCTTGATGTTCTGCTCTATCATTGTTCTTGTCGATTGGAAGTTCTTCTTCGGATCTTTAACCTAATGCAACTATTTTCCTTTGATCGGAGACATTAGCCTCCTTCTCTTTTCGCCTACTGTTTATGTGGTTATGTGTACCTTGGATCATCGGGCCCCGATGATCCAATCGACGAAGATTTTGCACTAGGAACAGCAGCAAGTGTATAAAGAAACCCTTCCTTCTTGCAACGAGCGGAGGCTGGGCGTACAACCAAGGATACTAAGAACAGTATCCATAATAAAGAAGACTCCGGCGTCCAATTTGCACAGAGCAAGTGCAGACAAACGAAAACCACATGATATTACTAAGCACAAAGAAGATTTGTTTTCTACGAAGACACAACCATGAAGTAGATGGCCTCAAGTGAGGCTGAGTTTTCATAGCTTCCTTATTCCACAATAATACAGCTTAAGACAAAACTCTGACGTTTGCTATGAGGAAAAGGCCGGTTTGCTTCTTGTCCTCGAACGGCTATCACAGAAAATGGTGTTTCTTCGAGGGAAATGACTCTTAAGCTGCATCATGCTCCATGGACATTGTCAACAGTGAGATGCTTATTCTCGAATAAGCTATTAGTAGAGCAATGGAACTTTTCAGCTGACGTACCCCTTGGTTTGCCAAGAAGAGGTCATGGCAGACTTTGGTATGATTGATGAACTGGTCAGCCTTGTTCTTCTCACCCACCATATGGCAGGCATCCTCTTCTTGTCGCCGGCTGTTCCTTGAGCTCTCTTTCACAGCTCTTAAAGCCGCCTCTCTTCTCCTTCCTCAATCGTACCACATTCGGTGATGGGCTGCAGTTGCCCATCGATTCGTGTACGATAGAAAGGAGGCTTTCCACCCATGGATAGGCTGATAAACCTGGAGCCGTCCAGCCAGGTCGTCATCCGCATCGAACCCACCCAGAAATGCTGCGGTGAGCTCACCCTGCGCAATGTCATGTACACCATGCCGGTCGCCTTCCGGCTCGACCCCGTCAACCGACTTCGCTACGCGATCCGGCCCCGGTCGGGCATCATCGCCCCCTTGGCTACTCTCCTCGTGGAGTTCACCTACGTCCTCCCCCTCGACTCGCCCCTCCCCGACTCGCTCCCGCGCTGCGACGACCGGTTCCTCCTCCACAGCGTCGTCGTCCCCAGCGCCTCCCTCAAGGTCCCCGCCTCCATCTCCGACTCGATCCCCGGTGAGTGGTTCACCAACAAGAAGAAGCAAGTGTTCATAGATAGCGGCATCAGGATTTTCTTCGTTGGATCGGCCGTGCTGACTCGGCTTGTGGAGGACGGGTTGATGGACTCGGTCAGGGAGGTGCTGGAACGGAGCGAGCCGGAGTGGCGGGCCGTCGACTCGGTCGACTCGGAGGGTCGGACGCTGCTCCATTTGGCCATCGCCCAGTGCCGGCCGGAATTGGTTCAGCTGCTCCTCGAGTTCGAACCCGACGTGGAGGCCGCGGACCGGAACGGCCGGACGCCGCTGGAGGCGGCTGCGGCCGCCGGGGAGGCCCTGATCGCAGAGATCCTCATCGCGCGGCGGGCGTCGGTGGAGCGGTCGCGGGGGTCGGACCTAGGCCCGCTGCACCTCGCCGCCGCCGCCGGCCACGCCGAAGTCGTCCGTCTCCTCCTGCTCAATGGCGTGGCCGTGGACGCGCCGGCGGCGGACGGGCGGACGGCGCTTCGCCTGGCGGCGGAGGGGCGGCGGCATGACTGCGCGAAGCTGCTGCTGAAGGCGGGAGCGAGGGTGGACGCCCGTGGCGGTGCCGACGGTGGGATGCCGCTACACGCGGCTGCGGCCGGCGGGGACGAAGCCATAGTCAAACTGCTGCTGACCAGGGGTGTAGCGGGGGTTAAGGAGGTGCGGAACGCAGCGGGGCTGACGGCGTACGACCTCGCGGCGGAGGGAGGCCACGTGAGGATGCTGGACGCGTTGAGGCTGGGGGACGCGCTGGCGACGGCGGCGAGGAAGGGGGAGGTGCAAGCGGCGGCGCGCCTGGTGGATAGAGGCGCAGCGGTGAACGGGAGGGACCAGCACGGGTGGACGGCGCTGATGAGGGCGGCGTTCAAGGGGAGAGTGGAGGCGATACGGGTGCTGACGGACACGGGGGCGGAGGTGGAGGCCAGAGACGAGGACGGCTACACGGCGCTTCACTGCGCAGCCGAGGCTGGGTACGCGGAGGCGGTGGAGGCGCTTCTGAGGCGGGGGGCCGACATCGGGGCACGCACTGCGAAGGGAGCGACGGCGGCGGAGATCGCCGCCTCCCACGGATACGACGGCATCGTGAGGATCCTGGCCCGCGGAAGCACCGCGCTGTTGGTGGAAAAGCGAAGGGGCGGAGACGTGGGAGCAAAGAAGGGAAAAGAGAGGGAGGGGCGGAGGAAGAAGAGTGACATTGGTGGCAGCGACGGCGGCAGAGTGGCGGTGAGGAACGGCGGTCGGTTCCACAGGGCCAGGGCGGCGGTGGAGGTGGCTTGGTCGCACTAGTGTGGGCGGGGTTGTATCGGCATTTTGCGCTAAATTTTGTGGTTTAAGTCCCAATTCTTTTATTATTTGCCTTAAAACTCTTCTTCTCCTGCTGAAAGTACACATTGCGTGTGATTGCAAGTACTCGTGCAAGAATAAACATTTGTACATCAGGAGACCTGGGCACCAGTCTCTCCTCAAATGAAGGAAAAGGAAAGCTCAGCTTCCATGCCATGGCTCCAAAGATTACATGTTTAACGTCTGTACAACCCAGTGTGCAGGAAGAAACTATCTTCCGACTTCTATATATATATATATATATGTGCAACAAAGCCAGGATATCACATTCAACTTGATTACTATGATCTTGTATTAATGCTTACATAGACACACACTATAGATCGAAAAGTGACATAAGCTAACAAAAGCCACCCTCGGAACACATTAGAAAGCTAAGTTGCATTGCCATTTACTCTTCCTTGGGTATTTCCACCTCTCGACCTCCCCCTTCTGCTTCTTGTATCAGTTTCAAGATGTCGGCCTTTTTGGCTTGTAGATCTTCCATCTTGGCGTCAATCTTTTCTAACTTCTGTTTGAGCTTCCCAACATTCTTCTTCTCCCTTCCATCAAGCTTCTCCTTCTTCTTCTCTCCCTTGTCCTCCTTCTCAGTTGCTTCACCTTCGCTTTTTTCCTTCTTTTTCTTGTCTTTTTTATCCTTTTTCTTCTTACCATCTTCATCTGCTTCCTCTTTCATAGCTTCTGCCTCTCTGACCTTGTGTTCATCTTCATTTGAATCACCCCCAACCTTGCATTTGGCTTCAGCATGTGCCGACTCCGTTTTGTGCTCCAAATCTTTCTCAAGCTTGTTTTGAAGATCTTCATGTGTCATTTGGTCTGCTACTGTCACTATTCCCTTCTTTTCCTTCTTGCTTTTCTTGTTTTCGGTATCGTCCTCTTTTTCTACCTTCAATTCATGTTCACTATCCTTGGTTTTCTTTTTCGTCTTTTCCTTTTCTTCACTATTTTTCTCTTTCAGTTTCTTTTTTTCCTTGAGCTCTTGCTTGCATTCCATCTCTTCACCCTCCGAATCTCCATGTTTATTCTTCTCCTCAGTATCTTTGTGTTCACAAGGTTTGTCACCATTCTTTAGTTCTTTTTGTGAGACTTCCTTGGCATCACTTTTGTCTACTTTGGACTCATCGTGTTTGTCCTTCTTTTTCTCCTTTTTCTTATCTTCCTTTGATTTTTTAGCTTCGTCCTTTTTCTTCTCATCCTTCTTCTCCTTTTCCTCATCTTTCTTCAACTCGCTTATCTCATCCACCTCCTCATCCTTTTTCCTATCTTTCTTCTCATCCTTCTCCTTTTTCTTGTCTTTCTTCGACTCGCTAATCTCATCCACCTCCTCATCTTTTTTCTTATCTTTCTTCTCATCCTTCTCCTTTTTCTTGTCTTTCTTCGATTCGCTAATCTCATCCACCTCCTCATCCTTTTTCTTATCTTTCTTTGGCTCTCCATCCTTCTCTTTGTGTTTCCTCTTCTCCCCCCGCTCACTATCTTCGTCCTTTTTTGCTTTCTCTTTTTCCTTCTTCTCAACTTTCTTCGTCTCCCCATCCTTCTTGTTCTTTTGGTCACAATCCTCATCTTTCTTTTTCACTGTTGATTTATCCTTTTCTACCAACTCTCCATCTTCTTCCTTCTTGTCGTTTGATTTACCTTTTTTCATCTTCTCTTCTTTATCCTTTGACCCCTTGTCTTTCTTCTTGGCTTTCCCCTTGTCCTTTGTATTAACTTCTCCAGCTTCTACATCTCTATCATTCACTTCTTTCTGTGTTTTCTCCTCACTCTCACTTCTGCATTTATCATCGTCGTCTTCATGCTTGAACTTGCCCTTCTCTTTCTTCACAGCTTTTGTGTTTACTTCAACCTTGATCTCTTCCTTCTCTTCTTTTTCTATCATTGTACCCTTTTCTTTTGTTTTGAGCTTGAGATGAAACTCCTCCTTTGCATTCTTTACCTCAGCGTTGCCGGCAGAGTCACATTTCTCCTCCATTTGTGGATTGGTGATTGATGGGTCTCTGCAGCTAAAATGCCTTTTTTCTGCTTGAAATAAGACCTGAAAATAACAAAAAGTAGCAAGACATTTAGTTTCGAGTACCACATACCACATGTTGAAGATTTTACACAAGTATTTCTTCCAACAAACACTAGCATAATCAAGTTTCCTATTGCATCTGATATGTTTGAGATATTTATACAGGAGCTTTTTGGATATATCTTTTCAAAGTCCTGCTTTGTCAAAGTGTACTGTAGCAACAAAATATTTTTAAGTATCTTTTCACATTCTTTACTATCAATTGCTGCTATTATCACATCCCAATATAATAAATATAAATCACCACTTCAAAATCCATAATTTATATTTTTCATTCAATATTCTTGTCTTCACATTACTAAACATTTTCAACTTGAAAAAGATTAACATGCTATAAGCGACTAAAAAGTCTCTTCCCAAGCCTCAGATCTAATATAAATTAATAGGTTTCTTTGAAAATAAATATAAAATAAGAACATATGAGCGATAATATATTAAAACTTTTAGTAATACAATATTAATTCAGTAAAACAATCTAATAAATTCATGATCTCAGATTTAAAACTAATTAAATTATAGAACTTCACACATAAATCCTGTCTAATTAAATGAATTATAATTATCATTTTAATTCAAAACTATAATGTTTACAATTAAATCGATATCAAAATAATTTGGTTTAAGATAAAATGATAGAGATTTTGTAAAACTTATCAATTTATGATATAAGCTTAAAATAACATCATAACTCATGCATCATCATCATGAAATTAAATAATTATTTTAATGTCAAAATTCAACAATTAATATTTACTAATAATAAGATTTTAAATTTGAAATATTATTATGCATCATAAAAATGTTGTAACAATTATAATATCAAAGATTTCAAAATATAAATCAAAATTTTATAATAATATTATTATCCTCAAATTCACATCACCAATTTTAATTATTTTCTTAATCATATTATAAGAAAATTGAAGGGTTCAAATAAAGTAAATCATTAATTATGGTAATTTTGATTGATTAATGCTAAGAGGAGAAAAATGTGAGGTGATTACAACTATGATCCATATGCAGTAAAACTTGCTCATCTTGGAATCCCAGTGATGAACACCAAAAGCATTGTGCTGTTTCTGACGGACTGATGCCTCTGAAATGTTCAACCCTGTCTATGCTTGAATCAGAGCTTACCTTTCAAAAGAACATGTGAAATCACAGCTAGTTATGGTCGATTTCTCCACTAGGAAAATATCCAACATATATAGCTCAAAAATCTTGGCAGATTTATGCAATAGATCTGCATCAGATGACTCCCAGACTAATGACAAAGCATAAAATGAAGTCTTTATCTCCATGATCCAACTTAATGACGCAAAAATCCCGCTATGTCCCAAACTTTGGAGATCCAATCAAGTCAGAAGAACTCATACAACACCTAAAAGACTGAGATCTTATGTTTCTACTGAAAACAGGAAAAGAAAACCGCTGAAGAGCCAGGGAAGAAGTCCTCACATGTGCAAAGGAACAGAACTCACCTTAGCTTAGCAATAATCCTCAACACCCACTGTCCTCCACTACTGATCCGACCTTGAGACTTCCATCTTCTTCTACTTCTTCTCTGGTATTATAATGGAGAGAGAGTGAGAAAGAGTAAAGATGGTACCGGATCCTTCGGGCAACCTTCGGGTCTAAGAAAGACTCTTCAAGGGTCTAAGAAATAGCCAACTAGGACTTCAAGAATTGTGCTTTCATCAACACCGACTGGTTCTCATTTTTTGTTCATCAATTACAGTAAAACTGAGAAAAAGAGTTATGGATTAATATTCGTTCCTGTCGGTAAATTCTTTATGATTTATTCGTATCTAAAATTATTCTTATATTTTAAAAAATATAACATACAAGTTCCTCTTGTTAAATATGAGTTAACGGACATTAGAATCTGTTTATCTCATATATTCATTCATAATAAATTTTTAATATAATAATATATATAATTTAAATTAAAAAAAATTTAATTTTTTTTATTTTCATCATTGACCACTTAAGTCGTTATACTTTTATTTATATCTAAAATAACTGTTATATTTTTAAAAATACAACATATAAATTTCTCCCGTCAAGTCTAAGTTGATGAACGTTAAAGTCTACTTACGTAACATGCTGACTCAAATTAAATTATTAATATAATATTATGTAATTGAAGTTTTAAAAAAATCTATCTTGTTGAGGAAGCAATGGAGGCTTTAGTCGAAGGTGGAGAGGCAAAAGTAGCATAAGGCGGAGGTGGTGGTAAGGGAGAGCTGGATCATCACATCATAGGCACGATGGGTGAGGGTACAGGAAAGGACAAAGTGGAAGACAATAGGGATAAATACATATAGGAGAAGGAAGAAGGAGTATGAGACCATCGCATGTTTAGTGTTGGATTAGTCGATACACTTCTACCTGAGGTAGAACCAGAAACTTTTAAGTTTGTCGTTAACATGAGAGAATTTGCTGATCGTTTCCACAACGATTCCTCGTCCCGCTATTGAGAGTGGTCTCAATTTTTAAAATTTAAATTACATGTGTTATTGTATTAATGGTTTATTATGAGTCAGCATGTCACGTAAGTAGATTTTGACGTTTGTCAACTCAAACTTGATGAGAGAAACTTAAAAATTAGATTTTTAAAAATATAAGAATTATTTTAAGCATAAATATAATCAAGTGATCCATAAACAAAATCATAAGGTAAAAAATAAATATTTTTGTATTTAAATTATATATATTTATTATATTAATAATTTAATATAAATAAATATATAAGGAAACTTTATCATTTGTTAACTTAAACTTAACGGAAAGAATTTATATGTTATATTTTTTTAAATATAAAAATTATTTTGGATACGAATAAACTATAAGAGTTTAACGTACAAAATCAAATGGATTAAAATAAACCTTAACCCAAAAGTTATTGATATCGATCTTTATCAGCTTCATTTCATAACATTAGTTAGGATCCAATATTTTCAGGTCGGATCCTACGTGGATTTGATCCGATAATATCCCTAATATCTTGTTCTTTTTAGTTCCTTGGCCTACAGCCGTTCGGGTCGGATTCGCGTTTAGGGTGGATCCGTCTCACTAAATCTTCGATGAACTTGGACCATTGGATCGAGTATGAACGATCCGAAAGCTCTGAAACGAAAGAGCCCTCTCTCGCCGTCCTGCCCTAACTCAGGATCCCACCACGCCCGGCGACGCCCCCAAAACCCTAATCGCCTCGGTCTGGTCCTCCCGTCCTCTACCGTCGCCGGCTGCCATCCCGGTCGCTGATCCGTTGGCCCAAAGAACTTTTCCTTTTTCCGGAGTCGATCTCGACACCGCAGGTTCGATCGCTTCGTGATCTACTGATATTTTCTTTCCTCTTCGTCTTCGCGAATCCTTTTCGGTCATCGTTGACGAAGATCGTGTATCGATGTTTGGTTTCAAGAAATCCGATGTTTCTTGGTGCTGATATATGAAACTGGGATTGCGAGTGAAGTTTTTTTGATCCGTGATCTTGCTTTCGGATCCAAAAGTTGTAAGATAAAGATCAACGCGCTTGTGTTACCCTTACTCTTTTAAAAGCGCAATCCATCTCTTTAGGACTAAGGGAAAAATAGGAGAAAGACATAGGTGTTTTGATCAGACAAGGAAGTCGTTTTAGTTTTCTTGAGTTTGTCGCGAACCTGTCAAAGGCTTCTTCGTCGACCCATGAATCTTTTTGTGTAGCAATGGAAGTTGGTCTAACGTTCTGCCTAGAAACTGCTCCGTTGTTTCTTGATGCATCGTCATTGAAGTTTTCTTGATCTGTGATCTTAATTTCGAATTCAAAAGTCGCATAATGGAAGATGGACACCTTCGGGTTACTCTAAATTTTTTAAAGACGTAATCAATCTTTTTTGGAGTTAAGCGGAAGATATGCGAGAGAAATATAAGTTTTACTCAGATGAAGTGATCATTTTGGTTTTCTTGGTTTGTTGCAAACCCTCCTCAGCAACCCATGTCTTTTCTTGTATGATACCCAGAGTTGGTCTAACGATCTTCCTAGACCAACTTCACAAACACTAATTGCTGATTCAAATATGCAAGAATAGCGAGGACTGTTAGATTCTTTTTCACAATGAAGAAGATGGCACGGCTGAAAATAGAAGTAGGGTTGCCTTTTTTCTTTCCTCTTTGCTATAGCATAATATCATCAGAGAGGGACGTGGATTGGGATAGTCCATAATTCCATCTCTGAACTCTTGCATTTTTTCAAGGAAGAAAAAGAAAGTTTCATCAAGTGTAGGTTGCTAATGGTTCCTGTTTTATTGGTATACACAGGAAGATGTATCTGGACTCATCGAGACAGTGTTAATAAAAAAACAGTTGACAGATGTACACCAAAAACAAGTAAACATCATACAATGCAAATTGCTTCCAATTCTGATGGAGCCATTGCACAAGAAACGGAATTTGATGTGGATATAGGTCCTAGGAGCCTGATTCAGTTGTTTGCACTTACAGCACCAAGGTCATTCTGTTATCTGTTTTCTTATGCCTGTCTTCTTGCAGTTTGCATCTTGTAGCTAATTTTGCAAGTGTACTACTAGTATGGTTAAATCGTTGGTACTAGTCTATACATGTAGTTGTTCCTCTTCCCATCACAAGCTGGAATTGTTATTTGTGTTTCTTTTACTCATTGTTAACAATGATGATTTAAATGAATTTTATAAATTTCTTCATTGTATGAAAAGAAGTAAATTCTTTGTTAGTTCCCAAAAGCTTGCCATTCTTATTGTGAAAATATTTTTTAATGGTTCACACTGCTGCCATCTAATCTTTTTAAAACATATTTATTTTGAGTGGTTTTTTGTTTCTTTTGCTCTTCAGTTTCTAACATATTAGTTGTATTCTAGCTTTCAGGATGCTATGGTAAATGAACACTCTACTTACCACTTAAAGAGATAAAATTCTTCCGACATTTTTATGGCTTCTGAGACACTTTGTGCAAGTGATCAAAGGGGTGGAAATTTTTGCAGAGAAAGTAAAGGACATAATGAAATTAATCCAGGAGAATCTCAAAAGAGCTTCTCTTGCTCATGTGAATGCCATGGAAAATCAGCTTCTCAGGCCAGGAATGGCTCTGTGAGTTTTGGTGAAAGATTTCACAAAGATCATTTGGGTGATCATAGTGGTGGCTTGTTAACTGAGAAGTCCAACCAAACAGATGTTGGTTCAGAAAGGTTAGTGGGTGTATCATTATCAGATGTGAGAACTGTTACCAATGCTTCTGAAAAGGCTTGTCTGCATGAAGAGCATGAAAGCTGTGATGCATGCAATTCTATAAAACTGCAACAATATATGAAGAAGCAAAGGAACAATACATTACAAGATCTGTATTTTCAAGAAGAGTACGATGATGATGATGATGATGACAGCGACTGGGAACCAGTCAGTCCCTTTGTCATCAAAAAATGGTTTTGTGCTAATTGTACAATGCCAAACTTTGATGATGTTTGTCATTGTGAAGTATGTTCACTTTTTCTTTGTTCTCATTTTCTGTTCTCGAAAGTGCATGCTTGACCATTGATATGATGACCTCCCATCTGGGATGATATTCAGTTTAGTTGGTTCCAACAATATTTCCACTGAGCCTTGTAACTTCATCTTGAAGGTATGCGGAGAGGATAGGGAGTGCGAGTTCTTTAGATTTGATCCTATCGATTCTCTTGTTGGGCAGGAAGCTCAGATGTCTAATGAGACAGATGCAGGAAGCTCAGGTATGTGCTACTGCTAGCCTATTTATCCTTTCACAGCTCCTATTTATTTTTTGGTGAAATTTTTTTATTTATAGATTGACTTTTCTTGCAAGCCTTTGAGAATTTTGTTGATGGTCATGACCTTGATGTTTTATTAATCTTCCATTTTAGACATAGTTATTTGAGACAGTAAATTGTCAGTCAGAGATCAATTGGTATGTAGTTTAAAATGAACACATCTATATATGGTCAGTAAATACATTGTCTTGTGTCAATTCTCCTGATGGACTTTGAATTGGCAATATTTGAATACTTTATTACTTTAGAATTGCAGAAGTTGTTCCAACAAAAAAAAAAAAAAATTGCTGGTCCCCTTTTGTGGCCTGTGATATTGCTTATTTAATGCAAACTAGTGCACCGGTAAAAGAGTATTCTTTTTTTAGGTTATGTGGACTACAGGTGCAAATTACATTATTTGCAGGGTTGGAAACTGTTCTCACTTCCCTCTATTTCTTAATAAGCCTAAGCAGCAAGAATGGTATCTAGTGATTAAGAAGCTTTGACTATGTGTTTGATCCATGATATTGTGTTGGTGGTACTGCTTCATCTGAAAGGTTAAGGCATCCCAAACATTTGTTTTCCTTATTTTCCATTTAGTATCACTTTTTGATTTCTTTGGGTCTTTTAACTAGGAATAAAAAAAAGGGTTAGGTCGGATGGGCTTTTAACAATTTTATCGTATCAATTATCCCATCAGTTGAAGGCATGAATCTAATGATAATAAGTCAACTTGTTCAGGAGCTCCTCCAAAAGGAAGGCTAAGCAAGATTTCAAGTTAATTTTTTTTCATCATTTGTTACTGTTTGCTTAACCACTTACTGGATCATTTTTCTGCAAGATTC